TATTAGTTTTCTTCGTCTTCTACACGTTGGGCGCGTGGACACACCTGTGGCACCACAATACTCACCTGGAACGCCGAAACATCTCGGCAGGAAGGTAACAAAATCAATCGACAAGTGCAAGATATTTGATAAAAAACGAAAGACAATTATATTCACATTTGAATTTTAGTTGCAAGTCTGTCGTTGAATGCGAAGTTGATTGTTTGAAAGCGTGTAAAAGTTTTTGAGAGGCGAGATGAATAGTGACATTCTTTAGCGAAGGTAAGTTAAAAAATATTACTTTCGCATGATTTATCATTGAACACAAAAGAAATTTACCATTAAATTTATTTTCTTCTTAGTATAATTATTATTTGTCTGTCGAAATACGTATGTACCCAATATGGAACATGTTTTACCATTATAAGTACATTATATTATTGTACTACAATATATTACGTAGTTTTATGCTACAATTATTATTATTATGTGTACAGGGTGTATCACCTAACGTTATCACCTGAAATATTTCCGTTGTAATTAAAATTTCGTAAAAATGTTTCCTACAAAAGTTGCATAGTTTTATGGGGGCCAGTGTACTTTAACTTTGCTTCTTTAAAAGAAATTCTATATTTTATTTATTTGCATATAATAGCCATTTTGAAGATCAGTTCAACGACCTATAAAACTAAGTCCTTCAAGGTCAGCGAAGGTCGTATAAACGAATGACCTTTAATGACAGGATGCTAAAATCGTCACAAAAGCGGCTCTCGCACAATGAGAACAAAATATGCCTAGCATCCCATTTAGAAAAAATACGAATGACCTTGAAATCTCCTTAGAGCCTCCAAATACTACAAGTATCTACATATCATTATGTACACAACATTTTTCTACATTACCCCAAATAACGGAAATATTCTCCAGGTGGACGAAGTATTTGCCCCGCCCTGTAGAATGACCTACGACCAGGCGTCGTACGCGAGAATGACGTGTCGGTGGTATCACGCACAGAAAACGAAAACAATATTAACATGCAACGTGGTCAAAGCCGATTAGCGTAATGATCGGAATCGGTGCTCTAACTCATTCGATGTGATGAAATGAAAAGAGGCCGGCAGCAAAACCTGGATTGCAACGATGATCCTCGAGCTTGAGCACGCTGAAAGTCGAAGGAAACATCAGAGACAAATGGCACGAGTGACCTATGTAAGTTCTACGGTGGGGAGGGGAAGTGTACACAATACGTGTCATCATTTTCAATTGACACCAAATCGGAAAGGAACAGCAATAATCAGCTGAACCTGAATTGGTGGCTTTTCAAACATTAAATGAATACACAATGGGATTCTAGTAGCAGAAACGGCATCAGACGCGGAGGGTTTCGCCGTGTAGCCCGTGGCTTCTCAATTTCCATTGATGCTTTCGGGATTGGCCATTGATGCTACGTTCCTGAACCGTCACAGACGGATACCGTCGTGATTAGGCCCTTTTGTGACGTTTGCCAGATGAAATTGAATAATGGACGATCCACCGATTACGCGGCTAACTGGATCTAAGCACTTTGAATCCGTGCTTCCGACACCAATTCACCACGGGGAACATCTATCACGTGGTCGTTCACGTTTTCTCTGCTCCCTGTTGTTACAGTTTTTACGCCTTTTTTCGTTTCTTTCTCTAATCGACCGGCTGGTCCAAATGAAAAGAAGAGGAAGCTCGAGTGCAGATCGCGAGTGACTGCGTTCGGACGCGGTCGATCTGGATTGCAACAGGGATCTTTTAATATCGGCGCAAGGTATCAAGGTCAATCGGCGGCAATATCTGCTCCGTTAAAAAGTGATCTTAGCTGTAACGATATTTCGGGATAGTTGAATTACTTCGGTCAGATTGTTGTCTACCGCATGCAAGTACGGACGTGTTGGATGAGAATAGCGAAGTAAGTCGCCTGTGCAGCAGCATCGGACATTACCGAACGGCAAAGTTGAATGATACTTACGGTGTTCGACTGTTCATTTGTTTGCTAAACGGGATTAGTGTTTCGAGCAAGCTGACTCGTGACATTCATAGGAAAATATTCAGTGAATGTAGAAAGAAATATCGTGTGTTTGAAATATATTTAAACGATATCGAAACTTCGCGTCTGACCAAAATTTTGATGGTTACATATGACACTTTTACCAAGTAACTTCCAGATCAGAACAATGTGATCCATCGGTTTCATTCGATTGCACATTCTTAATAATTCGATTTGCTGAAATTCGACCGAATAATCGTTTTGATTTACTCTGTAGGAGAACTATGAGGTGGATAGCAGCTATTGCTGGGCTCTTCCTGATCCTGGTTTTGTTCCAAGGTACCGAAGCGTCTTCGTCTGTAAGTAATCATCGGCTGTTCTTCTCGTTTCCTTCAAATTTGATCCCATGCAGTAAGAATCTCGATGGTGCTAATTTGAAATCTATTTTTCATATACAGGGTGTCCCGTAGCATTGAGGAACCGTTTTGACGCTGGATTCTACACATGAGAACGATAAACAAAAGTTGATACAAACATACCCTATTTGATCTTGTCTTCGAGTTATAGCGAGTTTTATGTTGGAATAATTCTATCAGACGATAGAAGTCGTTCAACTAATTCCATCTACTTATTTACAAACAGAACTCGATATCTGACGTTGAACCTTGCATTCTAGTTCTGTAAACTCCTCTTAGTATCTCACATATGAGTCATTAGAGCGTCAGATTATCGAAATACGTCGTGTGTAAAATCGAAAAGTTTCTCGAATCAAGAAATGGCAGATATGCATCTAATGTATGGGCTTGCCCGGTGTAGTAGTGTTAAAGCAATGGAGAGAGTAAGACAGTCGACGATAAAACGTCTCCAGGCTTGTGTTCAGATGCAAGGAGGTTATTTTGAACACCTCTTGTGAAGGTGTACAGAGGCAGTGTGTTAAAGAAGAAACTCGCTATAACTCGAAAAGAAAGTCAAATAGAGCATATGTTTATACGAACTCTTTTTATTGCCTTCATGTACAGAATCCCCTACGGGACACCCTGTGTAAAGTATATTTAAATGCTGCAGTCTCTTTCTTGAAAAAGTAGATATAGTTGAAAATATCAAAACTAAAACGAAAGTTTATGCAGATATAAGTTTCTGTGTGTATAAGTATGAAAAAAATGTTACATAAACGTAGACCGCTTGAAGCTTTGTTAAAAAGTTATGACAAAAGTATGAAATACGAAGGTAATAGTAACGAACTTGCGGTTACTATGATGTAATAAGACAAGAATGGCACTGGCAAAAGTTACATCCAACAGCTTCGACGATCTCAGATCTTAAACGCAGCTTGCATAAGCAGACTAGGTGTGCTTATCGCTGATTTATTCCTATTTTGTATCACAACCGCACATAAAGCGTAGTTAGAACATCGGAATCGAGACATTTTAAATCTTTACACAGAAATTTCAAATAAAATCCGTTCGTTGCTTGAAGAAATTATTTTTCCACGTGTTTCGAATCTTTTACAATTCTATTTTTACATTTCGAACTTCGAATATTCCAATCTTTATTCGTTTGAAACTACGTATTGGATAGCCCTGTGTAACAAAAGTACCATACGAGATCCAAAGCGGTTCCTCGGAAAATTTCCTGACGTTTCAACTGTCCTGACCTACATCAGGGTCGTAAAAAATAAAAATTCATTTGTTTTTCAGAACTCATGCACGACAAAACGAAGCATAGACCTGTACGACCTCTACCACTTCAAACTTCGGCAACACAGATTGCCGATGGGAATAGTACCGACCAGTTATCACCTGGAACTTCAGCCTTTCGTTGGGAATGACAAATTCAAGGGTCGAGTTAAGATCAACGTCACTTGGACAGATACCAGCGACACAATTACCCTAAACGTTCATCCGCATCTTCACATCACGAACTACAATGTTAGACTCACCGAGCAATCGTTCGAGGAAAGGTATGTAGTTAACCGGAAAAAATACGATGAACTAGCTGAAATGGTATAGTCGGCGGAAGCGATGTAGTGAAGTCATGAAATCAGTCAGACGTCAAAGTACACGTGATCCAATCGCCAAAGCAACAATTCAACGAAGATAAGGAGCTCGAGACTCGCTCAGGGCCGTTCGATGTCAACTTGGAATTGGTTCTTCCAAAAATTTGTCTGCGCTTCAATCGTTGACAGCTGTAGGTTAATTTTGACCAATACGGAATTTAGTATTGGACAGATGACGGAGGCTTAATACCAAATATCTCAGATGAAAGATTGTAAGCAGAAATTTTAGATATGAATTCACAAGTAACAAGCGACCCTGGGTGTGACTACACCAATTGGTGTTGCAGTTTAATGCTTTTATTTACGACCCCACTATATCGCTTCCACAAACTATACGTACAGTGCTGTTAGATATAAAAGTGGTAACAACATTTCTATACAACTATTTCTGCATATTTAATTAACAAAAAAAGACATGCGAGGTGCACAAAGAAATACAAATGCAGATATATCATAGTACACTAAAATTCGTTAAATGTTTCTTTTTAAAGAATCTAGAAGTGTATAAGTTACCAGTGAATGATAACAAGTACTTGAAAATTTAAAGTAACTATGAAAGCAAAAAAGAAAGAACAGTGATTTTTTTAATATCAGATTGACTTACCACTTCCCACTAAAATCTTTTTAACCGACATAATAGCACGAAAGCAGATAAAAGTAATTATATCTTACAGGTTAAAAAATGTTATTCTATATATTACATTATTATAGGAAATTATGTATCTATACGTAATTATCTCTGGTAAAGTGTAAACATGAGGTTTTTCAATAAGGTTAGGTTAGGTTAGGCTTTTATTATAAAATTTTCGAAAAATTGTGTTGGTTCTGTGACAATTTCTACTACCAAGTACATAGGCGTATCTTTCTACGGCATTAAGTTACCTGTCGCACGAGTACTTGACTTACGCCGGTGCATGAAAATTGCCTGTTTCAGGCGCAGATTTTATTTGTCAATAACTAAAGAATAAAGCCTCAAATGCAATTTTGCTATTTTTCATTTTCGTCTTATTTTGTCTTGTAGAATTATTCCTCAAATTTTCTGCTGCTGCCGAATACCCTGTATAATAATACTGTAGGAATCAGGGTTGTGAAAATTGGAAATATCTTTATATTTTATTCACTTTCTTGGACACTCTTATTCACGCTGCCTATTTGGTGATCGACACCTCACATCTCGTTCGTCAGGTGTTAATAACTCGTTTATGCACCTATAGAAATGTACACACAAGTTCGTACACACACACACATTTACTCTTAACGACCAGTTACTAGATCAGTGGCGGACTAAACAAACTTTAATGTAGTAAATTTTAAATCGACTTTCATTATAGCAACTTCGTCAGCGTCTTCTAAATTAGAAGATTATCTTGAAAAAGATTCACCAACGGAATTATATTTCTCCTCCTTAAATTTGATGTTCAAAATGTTTACCTCCAGCTCTTAAGCATCGCTGCAACTTATTGCGAAATGAACGATTGACCGCAAATACAATCGTTCATGCATTTTTATTTAGTGAATGGGACATCCTGCGTATATCTAAATTCACGATTGAACAGAAACTCGCATCAATCTTCTGGTCCGATTTACATTTATCAAATTAATCTGAAAAATTACATATTGCCCTATTGTCAAACTAATAAACGTTATTAAAAAACAAAAGGGAGAAAGGACGACCAATGATGGATGTGAACGTCGCAAGAGTCACTCTTCCGAATAGCCGGAAGACCTGGTACACGATTCATCTGGAACAAATGCTGAAGAACGGTAGTAGCTGTGAAGTAGACCTTAATTTCATCGGAAATCTTACCACTGACGACACCAGAGGCCTGTTCAGGAGCGAATATTTAGACAGCAACGGAACGAAACAGTAATTATAATTGTAACGTTTTATTCGTAGTACAGGGTCTGACAAAAATATCTGACGGTGTTGTTAGGTAAATGCTCTTGTACTAAGAATAAACAGATTCGAGTAAGGATTTTATTACAGCAGATTGTACGATAATCTTTCATAGTACAGATTCGTTTAACTTTATATATTTAATGAAAAAAATATAAAGCATACATATTTCTTGAACAGATCGGATCGAGTCTTTTTGCCGGACCCTGTATAAAAGAAAGATAATCCAAGCTCATTGTTGTTTCCTCTCTAGCCCCTTCGTAGCTACCTATCTTAGACTGGACTACGCGCAAAGTGTATTTCCTTGTATGGATCAACCTCTTTATAAAGCAAACTTCAAACTAAGCGTCCTGCGCCCAAAAAATATGACAGCTCGTTCAAACACTCCAGTCGAAAGCAGCGAGGAAGCGTAAGTTATTTTTAATATTCGTCTCTTTATTCTTATGCCTGCTTATAGTTATCAAACTATTCTATCAACCGTTACTGTCAGCGTTTCTTTCTGCCGTTTGTATACTACTGTGTACAAAATTTGTAATAATCTTGCTCGATTATAAAAAGTAAAGTATTTCTAAAATCTTCTTACTGAATATAGTTTGTAAGTCTAAGGATCGCAGAATCGCTTCATTTTCTCGAATTATGTTAACAGTAAGATCTTTAATCCTCTACTGTCGAGGCACCGTTTTTGGGACGTAAAGCCCGATACGGAGTCTACGAAACTCATCAACTTCGGGTTAGTTTATACACAAATATAGAACATTCCTGACAACTTTTCTTACTGATTTACCTTTATCACACATTTTCCTAATGAACGTTACAGAATAGAATGGTTGGTTGGATTAATTTCATTTCAATGTAATAACGTTGAGTTCTAAATAGAATGGAAGAAAAGAAAAAAGGTAGAATCAGCGGAGTCTCTGAGACTCCGCCTCGACAGTAGAGGGTTAAACTGTAATTATACACTGCAATATGTAATTACTCTATCTTTGTACACGACAAAAGTGTGTACAAATGGAGTTTAGCTGATTTGCAAATAATAAGAATACTCGTTTGCGTCTTTAGTTTTCCTAGAGATTCGGATTTTTATGTACGCAAAATTAAGGTAAAGTTGCCTAATATGAGACCTCTCCTAATATGAAACCCCAGCTTATCTCCGTTACAGAACTCTAGAGTGTCGTAGCGATGCTGTTTCATTTCGTAATTAACCGTGTTAATCGTCAAATTAAGCATCAAATTTTATTAAAATCAATTAAGCGCCTTAGGTAAGCATATTTGTGAAATACATTGCAGAAAGTTTCCGAAGTGGTTCGATTAAATTGCAAATACCTCCAAAGTAGCAAGTGTATAATACAATCAAGTTCATAAATACTGTTGTATAGCGCATACAATGGAGTTTCAGGCTTACTGTTACAGTTGTGTATCATTAAATAATGAAGACTTAACCTCAAAGCTACTTACCCCTTTGCGATCGAGTGGCGACTGAGAAGCGACATTAAATAATCGTCACTTGGTAAATAATTAATCCAGGCAGAGAGCAGATCTATAGATCTTCGTAAATTCGTTCACCATAGTGAAATAGAGAACACATGGAATATTTAAATAAAATAGTATAGTTGATTTGTAGGTTAGTTTGAAAAAATTTCAAAGATCCGATTTGCAAGCTTTCTTACAGCAAAATGACATCCGAGTGCAAAGGGTTAATGGTTATCATGTTATTGTTTCCAAGTTCCTATTATAGAAAGGGTCTCATATTAGGTAGTCCATTTTGTTTTAGCGTATAAAGTGTTACCGGTGTGCCCATGAAGACTGCGGTGCTGAAGAAATAGATTTCATATGCCCAATATGTGAAAAAAGACAGAAAAAATAAGTTTCAGGAACAAACAAACTGGGCCCTATATTAAGAACCCATTTTTTAAATCTGTACATTTGTATAATTTTCGTTTGCATTTTATTATGAAGGAACCGAATTTTTTTTACCGTACTTTCCAGTAGGTTACAAAAGAATACATATCTTACTTTTAAAACGTGTATCGAATTTTAGTGAAAGTGTTCCTAGTGGAGAGTTATGACGTTTTTAAGAAATGGGTCTCATATTAGGCAACATTACCCTAATGCTCTTGTAACGCGTTGGCAAAAGCGTATCGAATATTGTAAATGTTTAATTTTAATGGAATTATGTTTTTTCAAAAGGAACGGACTTAACACCGCGGGAACTTTCAGAATGGCCTAATAACATGCTGGATTGCAATATGTGAAACAGCTTGTTTCTTCGTTAAAGCATTCTCCAATATATATAAAACATAGCATAATTATTACTCGTTTGTTATGTAGGAACGGAGAGTCAGATTTAATCTGGGATCACTTTCAGAAGACACCACGAATGTCAACATACCAATTGGCCTTAATAGTATCTGACTTTGAGAGCATCTCCCCCACGCAGGAAATCAACGAAATCGACGGAAGGAAGCTCGAGATTAGAGTGTGGGCTCGGAAGGAATATTTAGAATCCTTAAAGGACGTACCTGACAAAGTTGTCAAGATTATGAATTATTTACAAGAATACTTCAACAGTTCGATTGTTTTACCGAAACTAGATTTAATGGCAATTCCTTCGTTCAGTTTTGCCAGAGCATCTGATAGCTGGGGCTTGATGTTCTTCAAGTGCGTATCGTTTTGCTATTCTTTTCTTTTAAATATACAATGGGAACAGTGGTTTATTCCAATTTTGAATTTTCTTAAATTTTTCTGCCAAAGCTCTTGCTTTATATCTTGCTTTTTATATTTAATCATATATTTAAAATAAATTTCTACACATTACCTATTAGCCAACTAAGTAGCTAATAAATTTAATAGGAAATATTATTTCCTCGTAACATTGAACTTCGTATAATACAGTCACATCCTTATTCCGTACCAAGGAAACCAACTTCGGTAATTATTGGGAATAGGGTCCTCAGCACCGATTTCAATGACCTTGAAATATGTTGTCAAGGACGTCATTTTGTTTCCCAATAATTACGCCAACTTGTTTTTACATTATAAATGAAATTTGAAATAAATTTATATTTCATTCAGTTAGACCTACAGGGTGACCCGTAACTCCTCGAACACCCGGAAATGGGGGGTTCCTGAGGTGATTCTGAAAAACTTTTTCCTTTACCAAAATGTTGTTTGAAGCTTCATTTTTGAATTATTAACGAAAAACACTGGCCAATCGGAGCGCGCGTAGAGCTCGCACTCAGGGACGAAGAACAGAGGCTCACCCGCGCGCGATCAAACAAATGCGTATGCGTTAAAAACGACCTTCGCTGTTTTCTTCACGATTCCGACTAATTGCAGTTTTTTCAAAAATTTATACAAACGTCGGAATGACGGCAAAAAACCATTTCTCGAAGCCTTATAAAAATAGCGGTGCAAAGTGAAATTTTTTTGACAGCGATCGATAACTGAGAAGTCACGCGTTCGCGTCGTTCACGATAGCGAGCGGGTGAATCTCCGTTCGCCCGTCCCTGAGCGCGGGCTCTACGCGCGCTCCGATTGGCCAGTGGTTTTCGCTAATAATTCAAAAATGAAGCTTCAAACAACATTTTGGTAAAGGAAAAAGTTTTTCAGAGTCACCTCAGGAACCCCCCATTTCCGGATGTTCAAGGAGTTACGGGATTCACGATAGCGCGCGGGTGAATCTCTGTTCGCCCGTCCCTGAGCGCGGGCTCTACGCGCGCTCCGATTGGCCAATGGTTTTCGCTAATAATTCAAAAATGAAGCTTCAAACAACATTTTGGTAAAGGAAAAAGTTGTTCAGAGTCATCTCAGGAACCCCCCATTTCCGGGTGTTCGAGGAGTTACGGGACACCCTGTATAATAACGTGCACATGATAAACTGCAGTGCGATAAATTTTATGGGCATTGATCTAAAGACAATTGTCAAGAAATCACTTGTTTACAGGGAAAGTCAACTGAGCAGTTCATCTGTTTGGAACACAGCCTACGAATTAATTTATCAATGGATTGGCCAATATATCACACCGTTTAATTGGAGTGATGCACCGGTTAACAAAGCATTAAACTCATTCTTAGCTTCAATGACGACGATAGATGTACGTGTCGTAAATTGTGTTTACCGCGAAAATTGATTTTAAAACTAATTAGGAGAATAACGTGTTTGTTGCAGATCAACCCAGACGAAATGGAAGGGAAATGGCCAATGACCACGTTATATTCGCTTTATTACGAGTTTGGAAAGTATGAGCCTTTCTCGAGAGTTGGAGGAATTAGAAACGTAGCTACATCGGCGAAAAGTAAGTTACTATTTGCAATTATCTGCAACAAGATATGTACAAATGACGTACAAAAAAATTTGTAATCCAAATTTGAGTTGGGTTAATTTATTTCATTTAGTCCAAAAAACTCATCGTTTTTGTGATCTTTTTTTGAAGATAGTACCAGATATTTAAAGGTACAGTTGTTGGCAATATACAGGGTGGACCAATAAGGATTACAACCTTAAATATCTTCGGTACCATGAAAATAAAAGAAAAATGTTTCCTATAAAAATTATTTGGTATGAAAGGGACCATTATACAGTTATAAAAATTGTTTTGTAGGTAGTGTCACTGAAGATATGTGAAGATCATCCCTAATTTTTTCATATGTCATAGTTTTTTAATTATTTGTTAATAGCAGCCCCTAAGACGGACACAAAGTCCTATACCTCAAAGGCACCACAATGTCAGTCAAGGTCACAGAGACACATGTGCCCCAATAAATTCTGGCGTTATTAAAAAAGCAACTGAATCAGCATTAGCAATATAATCAACCTTCTATGACCTTGGCTGATGTTGCGTTACAGGACTTTGTATTCGTCTTAAAGGTTTGTAATTAGCATACAAATAAAAAAATATGGCATATATGGGATGGTCGTCACTGGTGACTGACATGGCGCTTAACGTGTTAAAGATTGATATTGAGAGGAGAATATACTGACAATTAAGTTCTTATCGAAGTATGCCTTGACATAGGCACCTCGGACGCAAAAGGAGAATTTTTTAATTTTCACTAAGTAAGCGGTTCTTTCGAGAAGCCGAGGAATATTGTTCATAAACATCGCGAATCACATCAGTGGTGTTCTGTGCTTTTTTGTTCGAGGCGCCACTGTCATCGGGCGCAAAAAGAGAACTTTCTTAACTTTGCTAAACGGGTCTTTTGAGAAGCTGAGGTATATTGTTTATAAACATCATGAGTCACATCACTGGTGTTCTGTGCTGGTTTGAGTGAATCACAAGTTACAATACAGTTACAAATAACTAATTAATGCTAAACATTATAATAACAATAATTCTAGGGCGCCATAGAAATTCTTGCATAAGGGCACCAAGCACCCTAGCGCCGGCCCTGAAAGAGTTTATTAATTTTGCGTGCTGTTGAAAGAAAATGATAACTCAAGCCATTCTATGAATTGTTTCTAACTATGTGGGACTAATTGTATCATTTTTCTGCTCGCAGCGGAACTTGTATTTCGGATGTTCAACTACACCCTTGGCAAAGAGCTATTCCAAGAAGGCGTCAGAAACTTCGTTCATCAAAACTCCGAAGAGTAGTATGATTGATTACATCGGTTAGCCGGGAAGCAGATTTATAGTATCTGTGTATTCTGTGAAAAAATAGCTGGAAATTGAAAATTTCGAATAATCGCTTTCGTGAAAAATCAATTGTTCAACAACGTTCGAGATAAATAATATCTTCAAACATTTCTCATTGTAATTTTCAAACTTATCAGTTTATAATTTCACAAAATACTTGCAAAAATTAGTGAAGAAAGTGATTTTGAGAATTAATCAGAAAATCGGTCCTCTGCTTAACAATGAGACAAATTTTGCGACTAAAAAGTTTACCCTTTCCTTGTTATACAGGTTGTAGCAAAATGGATGACCAAACTTCAGTATGGTATTCTACTATTCCTAAAGATAGAAGAAAGATCACGTAAATATGGATCCGGAAACTCTTCTATTTCGAAATGCAAAGCATTTTTTGTTTACACTGAAATTTTACGCGAATAGCTGTCACGTGTAGCATTATACTGTGTTTCCTAGTTGAAATGTCCGATCTACTAATTTTTCAGTTATCAGAGTGTTTCAAATTATTTGTAACTCGACATACACGTATTTTTCACGTTTTAAGCAAAGTTAGAATTTTCTGTGTGCTTTACAGAGCTCTAGCAATAGTTTAATCTGTTTGTCTTAACAATGTTACAGATGGTTTTACATGATGAAACCTCATTTTTCTCGGATGTCCAAAAGTGTCAGTTAGGACAATTAAGTTAAGGAGGGCGGTATTGTAATACAAGCATTATCATCATTTTTTTCTGATAGAGAGCCACTCCGAAGCCAAAGTGACTAACTCCATAAAATAAAATATATTAAATTTTTTTTATCTAGGAAAAATAGGCACCAAGCATGTGCTTTGATACTAACATTGGAAGAATATCAAAAAGTGGAGTTAATCATTTTGGTTTTTGAGTGGCTCAAATAATAATTAAACCAGCGTATATTGTAATAAATCAGTCACTATCTAAACATTTGATAGTTAAGAAAGTGTCAGGATGACTAATCTAATGTGCAATAGGCTATTAATTAATATTCACTTTACTTATGGTCATGGTAACGAAAACTGCAGAGACACTCCATCTCTATTGGAAGGTATGGTTAAAATATCAAAAATCATTTCTAGCAATTTCTTTAAATAAATTTTAAGCATTCTTACAATACTCTGTCATAAAAAAAAAGAAGTATTAATATCTCGGAAAGGAAGAGTTTCTGGACCTATGTTTATATGACCTATTTTCATCCTTAGGAACAGCTGAACACGATACCAAAGTTTGGCCACCTATTTCGGTTACACCCGGTATATAAACGTGTACACTCCCGTTCATAAGTATTGGGACACTTACTGAATGTAAAGCATACTGAATCTTACTGAGATCTATTGAAATCTACTAAAATCTACTGAAATCTGCTGAATTCTATTAAAATTCTGTTAACTTTACTAATATCTACAGAAATATTTTGAAACCTACGGAAGTCTACTGAAATTTACTAAAATCTACTGAAATCTAGTGAATTCTACTAAAGTCTACTGAAATCTACTAAATTTTACTAAAACATACTGAAATCCACTAAAATCTACTTACTGAATGTGAACTCAGCCTCTCTGTCATTACAAGTTCAATACAAAATTATTTGACTCACAAAAGTCATTACAAAATGATTAAAATCCTAAAAGAAAATTATCTATTCTAGAATTTTAAAGTATAACGAGAGTGCACATGCATATTTTTACTAACACAGGACACTAACTTTGGCCAGGAAATGTAATTTAAATCACCTAACACTTTCTACACGAACGTACCGGGTGTCCTGTTACTTATGAACGACAGTGTATGTCTACTTTGTTAAAAAAAAAAAAAAAAAAAAACATAAACAAAGAGGAAGAAGAAAAAGAATGATCTCTGTAGAAAATAGTAGAACGTTCGTTTTTAAAGACGCTTTTTATCATCCAATACCTTATGTTCTCAACATTTGAAGAAGAAAACACTACCAGAAAGTATTTTACGCTAACTTTTGCATGGAAGGTATTGTATCGAAACGTAAGACACGTCGCTTTTTGGAAACGTTGCTTCCCGACTATTGCCCTGAAGTTCAGTTTCAATCCAATGTCGTTAATGCATTAAAAACGAATATTTCCAGAAATCCACGAACCTTCTTCGCAGATGATATCTACACCCAATTGAACAACGTCGTGAACGGAACGGACATTTTACCAGCAGGTTTGACAATCAACAGCATCGCGGGACCGTGGACCAATCGAGATAGAGTGCCATTGGTCACGGTCATCCGTGATTATGAAGTTAAAGCGATTACACTTAGCCAGGTATGTGTATCTTGCGTTCGTAATCTTATCGAGCAAAAAAACGTTGCTCGCCTCAGGGACGAGAAAAACAAAACAATGTGATTTTCACATGGATAAAACATCGATAGAGAGGAAACACTACACTGAATTTATTTGTGAGCGCTTTGAATGCAGTCGATTCCCGTCTTACATAAGGATTGACGATATCTGAGTAAAGGTTGCTAAACACGAGAAAAAGAATGCATACGTTACATATGCGCGTGGTATTGTACAAAGTAACAGAAGGAACTTGTACACGAAGCTCGAGTAGAAACCATTTTCAATTTTCCATCTTGAACTGATTTTACTCGAATTTTGCAACATTAAAGAAAAGTTCGTTGCGAGCACAGATTACTGATTTTCCCAGTTTAACTGTAAAAGAATTTTGATTACCTATTAATATTTTAATTAATTAGAATGTTGATCTAATTTTGACCTTTGCTTTTTACGAGAATTTTTACTTTTTATAACCTGCCAACAGATGTTTCAGAATCTTCCAATTATTTAGCTTAACGAAGATAGCGAATCTGTTGATTTAATTGGCGTTTAATTCCGGGCAATAAACTATTTCAGATCTATATAAGCGATGAGCATTTTTAGTACGGTTGAAAGTATTCTGAGTGATTTAATTAGATTAACTGAAATATTTGCTAAGTTCGTCGATGAATTTTATTGAAAATTGAAGTAAATTTAATAAAACAAATTCACTTAAGTAACGAAATAATGCTCTCAATAAATTCAAATAAATTTAAGTAAAGATGTTACCATGTGCGATATTATTGAATTCTGAAGGAGTAATTTAAGCCAGGTTTTAAAATTCTGAAATTACTCGGAATATTTTCAACCATGCTAAAAATGTTCATATCTTATACAGGGTGTCTCAGCTGATTTTGACATCTTGATTTTCTCGCTATTATTACTCAAAGCGAGGTATGTTTCAGATGAAAGTGAAACTTTTCCACTCGTGAAAGAATTAATGACACCAGAATATGCCCCCTTCGACACCGCTTAAATTTCATCTGAAACATTTTCCGCTATGAGTAATAATATTGAAACTAAGTTTTCATATACCTCTTATACAGTGTGTTAATTTTAAATTGAACATCTAAATTATCTCCGCTGCTGTTAAAGGTAAGAAAAAATGACTAAATAGGATTCAAAAAGTTTCAAGCCTTGTGTCTGGAGAGGTCATTTTGACAATTTTTTCAAGGTCGTTGTATTTCTTTTGCATATTTAAAATTAACACCCTGTATGTAGGCATGATTTAAACCGGACGGATGTGCAATTTTATTGTACAGGCAAGTAACAATACAATACAAAAGATTCTGCCCTTGGAGGCTGAAAAATGCTGTCCAATCTTTAAAGAAACTATTAAAGCAATCTTAATGAAGTATAGCGTAATCGAAAATTAAAACTTTAAAGCTGATAACCTGTATTGTAAATTGCATTTGCATAGTGCTGTAGGTCATTGACGATTACATGGGTACACACGTATCTTGCGATTAATCCTGGAAGTTGCATGGTTTCAATTACAAAGAAACAGTAAAATGAGCAATTACACTCTATAAATGAAATAGCAATTCGAACACGAGAATTAATTGTAATACGCAAATAATATAGAGAACGGGATGTTACGTACGCCTTATTTCTTTTTATACATGAATATTATTCAATAATGTGAACAATTGCACTTATTTTATCAAGTTGAACTCGTATAAAAAAATTACACGAATATCCCGATTATTCAACACATCAGATAATAATATCTAAACAATTGCATTGCGAATTTTTTTACAATTGATTTTATACTACAGCATATTTCTTCTTCTTCACTATTGTGTGTATAGAAATTTATAATCGGACAAAATTTAAATGCAACATTTACAGGGTGTCCCGTAACTCGTCGAACACCCGGAAATGGGGGGTTGCTGGGGTGACTCTGAACAACTTTTTCCTTTACCAAAATGTTGTTTGAAGCTTCATTTTTGAATTATTAACGAAAAACACTGGCCAATCGGAGCGCGCGTAGAGCCCGCGCCCAGGCACGGGAGCGCTGACTCTCATCCGCGCGCGATCGTGAACAAATGCGTACGCGTGACTTCTCGGTTATCTATCGCTGTCAAAAAATTTTGACTTTGCACCGCTATTTTCATAAGCGCTATATTGTATAAATTTTTGAAAAAATTGCAATTAGTCGGAATCGCGCGCGAATGAGCCTCTGTTCTCCGTCCCTGAGCGCGGGCTCTACACGCGCTCTGATTGGCCAGTGTTTTTCGTTAATAATTCAAAAATGAAGCTTCAAACAACATTTTGGTAAAGGAAAAAGTTGTTCAGAGTCACCCCAGCAACCCCCCATTTCCGGGTGTTCGAGGAGTTACGGGACACCCTGTATACAGCATTTTGCACCAAAAGAATACAAATTTTTCCACGAGTTATTTGCATTTATTGTATTTTTATAAGACTTTTTAACATATATTTATCACACACTTCTTACTTCAATATATCGACGTGCGTTACGAAAAGTAGCACGTTTCACTTGCCTTACGAAGAAGAACACGTGTCAGTGTGCTACGTAAAGAAGCACACTTCACCGTTTCTTACGGATATTAGCACGTTTGGTCTTCCGCCGTGAGAACTAATAATACGTTATGCTGTTTCGTGACAAAGAATAGCACATTTTGGATTTTGCGACGAAAACTAGTACATTTCGGCGTGTGGTCAGTTTAAATTGTCGAAATGCACTTTGCATCGAAAAATTCAACCTTTGAAAATATTGTTTAATAGATAATAATTCCATTTAATCTCCAAAATGAAAAAAATATGAAAATGTTTCTCACTCTCGTCTCCGATACACTCAACAAACGAACGAACAGAAGAGAGATAACAGCCGGTAATTCCCAGAGACCTACCTCCCTCGATAACAGTTGTGACGTGGACCCGAACCTGCGTCAATTAAGCGAGGAATACTCTATATTACCATCAGATCAGGACAAAATTCTAATTAGATCAGATTCGATTATATCTGACTTACACGCCCCCCCCCCCCCCCTTCCCTCCCAAATCAAATTTTGTCGATTACTGTGGTATAAAGTTAAACATACTCTTTTTCGTAGCCAACCATTCAAATGGTACTACTTTTCGCGACGAAAAACGAAACGTGATATTTTTCGTAACAATGAAGGCAAACGTGCTGATTTTCGTAAGACAAATGAAACCTGGTACTTTTCCTAAAATACTGAGACAAAGGCTAGCATTAATTATTACCAACAAAATATTACAAATGTTTTATCCACAGTGAAATATTATAATAATTACTGCATGAATTTCTCTTCGTCAGATTTTAGTAGGTCAGAGTACACAGAAGTGTTCCAAATAAAGAATATGTTTACAGAAAGTATTCCTCAGAGAAGCTCCACGGGCCACCACGCCTAAAGTTTCTTATCAATGGGACATACCGATAGTGATGATGACGCAAGAAAAATTAGAATTCCAGATACCGTGTAAACTGTGGTTAACGAGGAGGAACGAACCAAAAAATCTCACGCTATACAATATCGCTGGCGAAAATGAATTTGTCATTGTCAATCCGGAGGAAATAGGTATAGACACATAAATTAGAATTAGAAAGAAAGAAAAATTACAAAATTATTTGAATACTTAAACAAACATTAATCACTGAAAACACGTATTCCGTGTTATTTTCAATACTGAAACAAAATAATGCTTTCGAAATAATCTTTGAATAATAAACAGAGTGATTGCTATGATATAAAAATAGATCTGAAGTAAAAGCGGTTTGAACTAAGTACATTTTAAAATAACTTTCACAAAAAATATGAAAAAATGAAGAATGCTTTAAAAAAATATATCTTTTAATATGTAAATACCAAGTCTTCATAAAGAAACAAAATAGAAATATAAAATAAATGCATTTTAAAATGAATAAAATGCTTTCTCTAATCGTGTACAATATTTAAATAAATAAGAAAAACTGAAGTCTAAAAAGGCAGCATGCAAATATTTTCGTTTTTACTGTAAGATTGAAATAAAACAGCCTATATCATTATTTCAACTTTTTCAAATACCAATAAATTCCTAGCAATACATTATAAAAAAAAATTGTAGAATAATTACAATACACAAAGTATCGAAAAATTCTCAAAAGCGAGGCGCGACGTGTAGTACAACCGAATAGAGGAGGTGATTCTACATATAAAAACAGATTTTAGATAAAGAATAAAATTTTTTCGTTTGGAGCTTCGTTTTCGAGAAAATGGAATTTGAATATCTATCAAGCACTTACTTGCGCGTGTACTTAACTATCTCCAGGCTTTCTGTTTGTACTAATAAGCAGTACCAATGTCATGATAAGTACTAATAATACGTTTATTAACGATTTTATTGCTTCACACGTACATCACTGAATGAACTGTTGAAAGTGACGTCTTAGTTGACGCATAAAAATTCTTGCTCTTTGAATCAGAGAGTCGTGGACTGATGTTCTGACGCTTTAATTATTCGAAAGCTTGCATAATTATTCCATTGTGCTGCAGAAGACTTACACTATTTCTTTGCCAAATGTGACATTACCGCCATTTATCAACATGAAATAGGGAATCAACATAATTGTAGGGAATCTTTGAATTCAATTTTTACGAAAACTAACCTCCTTATGAAAAACTTTTATTCTTTATTTTCGGTTTATTTTCACATGTAGAATCACCCCCGTAATCTGCTGTACCATACATCCTGCCTCACCCTGTATTTCGAAACTACATACGAATTATACATATTGTTATTGATCAATTAAGTTATAGAAATACAGATGACACCTAACAGAACGGTTTTATAGGTATGTTCCCGGTGAATTATGATTCCTGCAACTGGAAAATGCTGTCGCAATTTTTACAAGGTCCAGACCGTGAAAAAATTCCTGTTTTAACCAGAGCCAAACTACTTCACGATTCTTGGAATTTGGCGTATTGCGGAGATCTTTGTTTCGGAATCGCTCTAAACATGACACTCTTTTTGAAAGAAGAAAGGAACCACGTAGTGTGGGAGCCTGTCTTTATGATGATCGATCATATCGGCAGACGTATCGAAGGATCTGATGTTTACCCGAAATTTGAAGTAAGTATTTCCTAATTGCAACAGTCCGTTAACACTGTTTATTCCTATAACGATCCTGCAATTATCCTTTTACCATTTGATCAAATTAATGATAATTCTTTTAACTAATTTAATTAATCAACGGGTATAAAGATTAAATAAATTCTCCATTTCTAAATTATACTTTACTTATTCCACGCCATTTTGTATATTAAAAAATGGGCAATTCTTGGGAATATGGTCCTCAGCACCGATTTCAATGCCTTTGAAATACGTTATCAAAGACGTCATTTTGTTTCCATAAACGACAGTACGGTGGCTGCCAACCAATATAGATTAGGTTAATTAGGTTAGGTTAGATTAGATAAATATCCCGACCGCCGCCAGACGGCCGGTCACTCAAGCAGGAAGATGTTAAGTTTTGAACTTCTCCAAACTTAAAGCACTAGGTAAATGTGCAAAGTACTTTGCTTTATTTGCTTCTTTGACGCTTTCGTTAATGATCACTGTTTCTTAATTTCACGTTGTTCTGCAATAAGGATGCTAAGAGATTAAGCAAACAAAGCAAAACGTAACTGAAACATATACTAAACTCAACGTAAACTTATCTCAAGCCTGCAGAATATGATACCCAACATTGAAAGTATTTCTCCGTATATCTTAAAAATTCAAGAATTCCAGCGGTAACATGTATATTGACAACATATTTCAAAATCATTGAAATCGGTACTGAGAACCCTATTTCCAATAATTACCAAAAAAATGTTCATATACTTATTGATACAAGTAACTACTTTTTTTTTTAGTACTTAGTATAACATTTTTTAACACTCATATTTACTTTTTATGCAATACAATAATGCTAATTCTGAAATTTATAAAAATATGAATTCAATGATCTGTAACCAAGCGATCTTCACCGAGTATATCTTCGAAGGCATGTAGAGTTGTAACTGCAACATTCTATTTAATGACGATTTAGAGTTACAGAAGAGACGGGATCTTCAAGGGCACTCATTTGCAGGCCATTGAATCCGTCATTTTATCGACTACAACACAGTATAGTCTGGGCCACGATATAGCGTGGTCGCAAAAGTCCTCAGAAGCCAATGTAATCATGTTTTGGGTGTCGGAATCAGGGCCGAATGTACCGTAAAGCGCAAGCTGGGCCTCACTCTCTCAACATAAAAAACAGCCTAGTTATAGTTGCAAAATAAAATACTTATTTTTAAATATTACATTCATAATATAAAAACAAAGAGGCCGCTGAAAACGGAAACGCCAAATTCGCGAATGTAATTAACTGAAATAGACTTGTCCTTTTGAGGTCTCGTAATGATGTAGCGCCTAGGGCCTCCAAAAGTATAAACGCGGCCCTGGTGGGAATAATGAAATTGATAGAAATACGGGCGCTCAGAGACGTGGAACCTCAGCCAGGGCCGTAAGAAGAAATTTTTAATCCTGTGTCAATGTACTTACACAATATATTGGCTATACAGATACAGGAAGAAACTCCTAATATTCCAGGCACTAATTATTATTAAATAATCAAATATTCTAAATAGTAAATTCCATAGAGTATATGAAATAGTAAGTGAAATACTATTAAATGCCGCCACATCGATCGGTGCCACATTTCGAAGGTTTAATTTACGACCACGCTATATCGTGGCACAGACTATACTACAAAATATACGCGGTGCCTTTTGAAAAATTCAATATCGTCCCGATATCTTGGAAAATACCAAGACTTTTCTTAAAATCAATAAATATTAACCCTCCGTAGGCAAACTGGGTAGTTTCCGTCCAAGTCCGACCCTTTTACTATTTTAAACTTTCAAAAAATCTAAAAAAAAGTCTAGAGTACTTATCAAAGTCTCTACTACATTATACAATTGTTCGTTAAATCAAATGGTAAAAACTTTTTTCAATGAAAATAAAATAATAAAATAAAAATTCACATGAAAGTGAAATTTCACTTGGATCGTCAAAAACTCAAATTTTTCTACGGAGGGTCGAGTTATCTTAAATGGCAATTTTACTAAACTCGTCCTATACAAATAACTGGAAGTGTTAAACATACAGTGACGATAAAACTTATTTACTAATAAAATTTATTATTACTT